GGCCACTGCACTCCAGTCTGGGCGACCGAGTGAGACTCCAACTCAAAAAAAAAAAAGAAAAGAAAAGATATCCTATAGAATGGGACAAAATATTTGCAAAATGTAACTCTGATAGTTTAATACCTAGGATATATAAAGAAGTTCTACAGCTCAACAAAAAGACAGACAACCCAACATAAAAATGGGCAAAAGACTTGAAGAGGCATTTCTCCAAAGAAGGTACATAAATAGCTGACAAGGACACAGAAAACATAATAGCATAGAAAGCAAGGACATGGCTGGGTGCGATGGCTCAAGTCTGTAATCCCAACACTTTGGGAGGTCAAGGCAAGAGGATTGCCTGAGCTCAGGGATTTGAGACCAGACTGGACAACTTGGTGAGACCTCGTCTCTACAATAAATAAAAAATAAAAAATAAATATTAGCCAGGCGTGGTGGCATGCACCTGTGGTTCCAGCTACTTGGAAAGGTGAGGTGGAATGACCACCTGAGCCCAGCAGATCGAGGCTGCAGTGGCTGTGAGTGTGCCACTGCATTCCAGCCTGGGTGACAGAGTGAGACTCTGATTCAAAAAAAAAAGAAAGAAAGAAAAGAAGGGCACATGCTCAACATGAACAGACTTAGGGAAATGCAAATTCAAGCCACAAGGAGACACCACTTGACACCCAAGAGCATGACTATATTTCTACAGAAGGAAAAGAACGCGTGTGGGGAAGAACGTGGATAAATTAGAACCCTCATGCCCTCCTGGTTAGAATGTAAAATGACACCGCTGCTTGGCAATAGTTGGGCAGTTTCTCAAAAAGCTAAAAATAAAATGACCATATGACCACAATTCCACTTCCACATATACACTCCAAAGCAATAACAACAGAGATTCAAATCCTCTCTCTGAGCCCAGGCTGAATTTTTTTTGTTTTTGGTTTGTTTTTGTTTTTGTTTTAGAGACAGAGTCTTATTATGTCACTCAGACTGGAGTGCAGTGGCTCATGGTAGCCTCGAACTTTTGGACTCAAGTAATCCTCCCACTTCAACCTCCCAAATAACTGAGACTACATTTTAAAAAAGTTTTGTAGTCACAGGGTCTCACTGTGTTGTCCAGGCTGATCTCAAACTCCTGGCCTCCAGCAAGTCTCTCGCCTTGGCCTCCCAAAGCACTAGGATTATACACCTGGCCCAAACTTTAAAAAATTGTGGTAACATATATATACTATAAAATTTGCCATTTTGGCCATTTTTAAGTGTACAATTCAGTGGCATTAATTACCTTGACAATGCTCTGCATCCATCACAACTATTTCCAAAGCATTTTATAACCCCAGACAGAATGTGTGTATCCATTCAGCAATATCTCGCCATATTCCATCCCCCCAGGTCTTGGCAAACTCAAATCTACTTAATCTCTCTCTATGAATTTGCCTAGTCTAAATGTTTCGTATAAATGGAATTCTATGCCAAGGTCCCAACAAACATTATTCACAGTAGTCAAAAGGTGGAAACAACTCAAGTGTCCACCAAAAGATAAGTATTTAAGCCAAATGTGGTCTAGCCATACAATGAATATTATTCACCCATGGAAAAAAATAAAATTCTTTTAAAAAATTTTATTTTAATTAAAGACATGAGGTCTTGCTATGTTGCCCAGGCTGGTCTCAAGTTCCTGGGATCCCTCCGCCTCAGCCTCCCAAAATGCTGGGATTACAGGCGTGAGCCACTGCACCTGGCTTATGTGTATTTTTTTTACCATAAAAAAAGTTCAGCCAGGGCTTAGGGAGAGTATGGGTCCAAAGTCCATGTCAGGAGCAAGGTTTGACTGGGTTGGGGGACAACCCAGCATTAGGTTTGAGTCAGAGTTCAAGAACTAAAGACAGTTGAGTAGATGGCTTCAAGAGTTGTGACGGGAGCCGGGCTCGGTGGCTCAGCCTGTAATCCCGCGCCTTTGGGAGGCTGAGGTGAGTGGATTGCCTGAGTCCGCGGGTTCGAGACCCGCCTGAGCAACTTGGTGAGCCCTCATCTCTCCAATAAATCAAAAATTAGCCGGGCGTGGTAGAGCGCGCCGGTAGTTCCAGCTACTTGGAAGGCTGAGGCGAAGAGATCGCCAGAGCCCAGCAGGTCGAGGCTGCGGTGGCCGGGAGCGGCCACTACACTCCAGTCTGGGTGACAGAGGAGACTCCAACTCGAAAAAAAACAAAAAAAAGAATTGTGATGGGGTCAAGAGTCACGCTGGATGAGGTGGGACCAGAGCGCGATCAGGCCTCACCTGAACATGGCAATGAGCAAGTTGACCAGCAGGATGTTGGCCACCAGCAGGAAGACGACGAGGAGCAGCACCACGAGCCAGTTGGCATACTGAGAGACGCACGAGCCGGCCTTGGGCCCACTGGGTTTGGCCCAGAAGCCCTCCTCTGCAGAGCAGTTGCTGGGCGTCATGAGGGCCACTGTGAAGGGAGACAGAGATGGGCCAGGGGGACAGAGGTCCAAGGAAGACACAAAGCCGGAGGGGGCGGGGTGGGGACAGACCCAGAGGGAGGAAGGGCCGAGGGGACACAGAAGGGAAATGACGGCCCGTGGAGAGGGTGGTGGGGAGTGTGCGGGGGGCGCTCTGAGAACCAGAGGAAGGGGGAGACAGAGACTCAGAGAGACGTTTCCTTGGAGAGATGGGTTACAGACACCGGGGAAGGGCGACGGTCTCAGAAGGAGGGGGTCACGCCCTGTCATCCCCCCTACCGTCCATGTCCTCCTGGGGGATCTGCCCGAAGATCTGCAGGTAAGGCCGGTAGAAGACGCGGCGCAGGATACTCGAGAGGTCGCCGTCCTGGGGCCTGAGCAGCCCCTCCGTGGCCACCCCGTAGGCAACCAGCCACACGCCAAGGAAGAAGAGGAAGAAGAACACGTCCTTCATCTGCAGGGAGAGGAAGATGTGGCCGAGTCTGGCCCCGCCCTTCCCCCAAAGCCACGCCTCCTGCTCCCCAAAGCCACGCCCTTCCCGCCGAGGGGGCGTTCGACTGAACCCAGTCTGACAGCCCCAGGCCGTTCCTCCTCTGGCTCTGCCCGCTAAGCCCACGACCCTCACCATCTTGTTCACGATGACGATCTTGGGCCCCAGCTGTTTGTTGACCGTGAAGATGTGCAGCAGCCGCAGCGTGAAAACCATGTAGTCGAGGCAGAAGACAGTGCGGCCCAGGTCATACAAGCCCGGGGTCAGCCTGGGGTGTGGGGAGACGAGGCAGGGGTCACTCAAGGGCCACAGGATGCCAAGGAAAACGGGAGACTTCCCAATGCCATGCTTCAGATGAAGCTGTGGCCTCCACAGGGCGGGACCAGGACCCTCTGAGTCACCCTGGGCTTACTGAAATTTACTCAGTGCTAAGCTGTTCTATGCAGGGTTCTGGCATTCACTAAAAAAGGGCTGCACCCATTAAATAATCATGAAGGAATGGCGGCCTTAGCAAAAAGCTGGTCTCTATAGATAGAGTTCCTGCAGACCAATAAGTACAAGACAAACAACCTAATAGGCAAGTCAATAAAGAATAACATTGTAGCCGGGCTCCGTGGCTCAGCCTGTAATCCCGCGTCTTTGGGAGGCTGAGGTGAGTGGATTTCCTGAGGCCGCGGGTTCAAGACCCACCTGGGCAGCGAGACCTCATCTCTACAATAGATCAAAAAATCAGCCGGGCGTGGTAGCGCATGCCTGTAATTCCGGCTACTTGGAAGGCTGAGGCGGAAGGCTCGCCGGAGCCCAGCAGGTCGAGGCTGCAGTGGCCAGGAGCGGCCGCTGCACTCCAGTCTGGGCGACAGAGTGAGACTCCAACTCAAAAAAAAAAAAAGAATAACAGTGTAATGCAGGAAGTTCAAGTGGCCAGTAAACATTGGCAGCTCCTATGTAGAAAATGAAAATTATATCCCTGTATTGCATCATCATGTACTTAAACTTTGGATAGATTAACAACCTTGTGCAAAAGGCAAAACATTAAAATCTTTAGGAGAAAATATATAAGAATTTCTTCATGAACTTGGGATAGGATAGGATGTGATATAAAGTCTGGGCCAGGCTCAGTGGCTCACGCCTGTAATCCCAACACTTTGGGAGGCCAAGGTGAGAGGGTTGTCTGAGCGCAGGAATTCGAGACCAGCCTGGGCAACTTGGCGAGACCTCGTCTCTACAATACATCAAAAGGTTATCCGGAAATGGTGGCGCTCGCCTGGCGTTCCAGCTACTCAGGAGACTGAGGCAGAAGGGTCACCTAAATCCAGCAAGTCAAGGCTGTGGTAATCGTGATCATGCCACTGCACTCCAGTCTGGGTGACAGAGTGAGACTATGACTCAAAAAAACAAAAAGGTCTCATATGCAAGGCATAAAATCTCAATAAAGAAAACACTGGCCATAGCTCACGCCTATAATCCCAGCACTTTGGGAGGCTGAGGTGAGAGGATTGCCTGAGCCCACGGGTTTGAGACCAGCCTGGGCAACTTGGCGAGACCTCATCTCTACAATAAATTAAAAAAGTAACCAGGCATGGTGGTGCGTGCCTGTAGTTCCAGCTACTTGGAAGGTAGAGATGAAAGATCACCTGAGCCCAGCAGGTCGAAGTTGCGGTGGCCGTGAGTGTGCCACTGCATTCCAGCCTGGGTGACAGAGTGAGACTCTGACTCAATAAAAAGAAAAAAAAAAAAAAGAAAACGCTGATGAAATATAAGCTTTCTGTACCTCAAAAGATAGCATGTATATATGTTGGACTAAGCAGGGAAAACATATTTTCAGTATTTCTGCCAAAAATGCACGGCCCAGATTAGATCGTGAGGGAACCTCAGACAAACCCAACTACACATGCATTCTACTAACTAACTGGCCTGGAATGTTCAAAAGTGTTAAGGTCATAAAAGAGAAAGAAAGATTGAGGAATGTTCCCAGATTAGAGGTGATCACAAGACATGACAACCAAAGACAAAATGAGATCCTGGACTGATCCTCAGCCCCAAAAAGGCCATCAATCGGACAAGTGCCAAGATCTGAATTAGAATTCCTAGTTTGGATCATGTAAGACATTAAAACCTGGAAGATCTGCATGAAATGGGTTTGGGACTCCTTTGTATTGCTTCGACAACAATTTTATAAATCTCAGATTATGTCAAAATAAAAAAGAATGTTTAAGATAAAATACAGAAGTAAAAAGACGAGCTACAAGCCGGGCTCGGTGGCTCAGCCTGTAATCCCGCGCCTTTGGGAGGCTGAGGT